TGAGGTATTGTAAAAGAAGTAAATGCAGGTTATTCGGGAGAGGGGGTGGATAATTATGGGGGAGTCAAATACAAAAATGGGGAATTGACACAGTTGCTCTTTGCTGATGAACACTGTGCTCATGGAAATTCGAAGAAAAATAGCAAAAGTGTCCTTGGCCCTCTTCCTCTTTCTCCTATACATATATGACCTACCAATGCTTCGCACTTACTCACACCCATACTTTTTTTTGCAGATGACACTACATACGTCTTCTCTCAACCTCGAGCCAGACATGCTAAAAAAAAAAAAAAAAAAAAAAACCAATACTGAAAACACCGAATTACAGAAAATATCTACCTGGATGAGGACTAACCAACGTACACTAAACCTGGATCAAAACCTACTTCATTCATTTTGGTAACAGAGCTACAGATGTAACCTCTTAACATAACGATAAACAGACACCTATCACAAAGCTAACCAGAGGGAAAATACTTAGGAATGCACCTTGATAATAGACTCAACTTTCATACACTAACAACAAATTTACTAAGAAATTCCTAAGACTGTAGCATACATCGCCGAAACGGTAACTATGTTCCCCAGTCCCAGCCCTCCCTGGCCCTTTTCACTCTCTAATTACCCCTACTCAACTATGGAATAATGGCATGGGCTCACAACAATTAACCAGCTCAGACCACTAATTACCCAACAAAAGGCTGCAGTTAGAATGAAACCAATTCTCACTACTGGCAGCACACTCCACCAATATCAAAACACCTCAACCTACTCACCAACAAACATCCCTACTTATTAACAGCACCTATTACATACATAGAACACTGAACTCGGATATTAACGCCTCCCCTCAACATCCCTTGCCAACCTCAACAGAACACTATGACCATAACACAAGGCACAGATCACCTTTGATGTTGCCGCGTGTCCCATCTCGACCTATGCAAAAACTCAATGCACATAAAATGCCCTAAAATCTGGAATTCATTACCTGTAAATATAAAAGAAACACTACCTGTTTATAAATTCAAGTCTCTTCTCAAAGATCACTTACTCACTCAAATCAAATAAATACTGAATAACTGAACCTTATAAATTGTATATCCTATGTGTTACTCACAATTATATCACACAAATGTTAAACCTAGGACCCAATCTAACTTTGTTATTTTTTTAAATACACTACCTAACAGAATACTCCATTCGACTGAATGTACAGCAATGCATGCAACCATATGACCTGTCTTTGTAATACTCATTTGTGCTTTATAGTTATCTGTTTACAATAATGTTTTATCACTGATTTCATCATTGCTTAGTTAATCTTAAGTTAATTTTAAGCCAGCCCGTAATGCTATGCATGTAAGTGGCTTTGGCATGCTGCTCTTACCTGTATTTTTTGTACCTCTGTATGTATGGTTAAATTACTAAATAAATAAATAAATAAAAGTGCGCTGATATTTTATTATTATTATTATTATTAGCACACTGGCCGATTCCCACCAAGGCAGGGTGGCCCGAAAAAGAAAAACTTTCACCATCATTCACTCCATCACTGTCTTGCCAGGAGGGTGCTTTACACTACAGTTTTTGAAATGCAGTATTAACACCCCTCCTTCATAGTGCAGGCACTGTACTTCCCATCTCCAGGAATCAAGTCCGGCCTTCGGTTTCCCTGAATCCCTTCATAAATGCTACTTTGCTCACACTCCAACAGCACGTCAAGTATTAAAAACCATTTGTCTCCATTCACTCCTATCAAACACGCTCACGCATGCCCACTGGAAGTCCAAGCCCCTCGCACACAAAACCTCCTTTACCCCCTCCCTCCAACCTTAACTAGGCCGACCCCTACCCCACCTTCCTTCCACTACAGACTGATACACTCTTGAAGTCATTCTGTTTCGCTCCATTCTCTCTACATGTCTGAACCACCTCAACAGCCCTTCCTCAGCCCTCTGGACAACAGTTTTGGCAATCCCGCACCTCCTCCTAACTTCCAAACTACGAATTCTCTGCATTATATTCACATCACACATTGCCCTCAGACATGACATCTCCACTGCCTCCAGCCTTCTCCTCGCTTCAACATTCATCATCCATGCTTCACACCCATATAAGAGCGTTGGTAAAACTATACTCTCATACATTCCCCTCTTTGCCTCCAAGGACAAAGTTCTTTGTCTCCAAAGACTCCTAAGTGCACCGCTCACCCTTTTCCCCTCATCAATTCTATGATTCACCTCATCTTTCATAGACCCATCCGCTGACATGTCCACTCCCAAATACCTGAATACATTCACCTCCTCCATACTCTCTCCCTCAATCTGATATCCAATCTTTCATCACCTAATCTTTTTATCCTCATAACCTTACTCTTTCCTGTATTCAATTTTACTTTTCTTCTTTTACATACCCTACCAAATTCATCCACCAACCTCTGCAACTTTTCTTAAGAATCTCCCAAGAGCACAGTGTCATCAGCAAAGAGCAACTGTGACAACTCCCACTTTATGTGTGATTCTTTATCTTTTAACTCCACGCCTCTTGCCAAGACCCTCGCATTTACTTCTCTTACAACCCCATCTATAAATATATTAAACAACCACGGTGACATCACACATCCTTGTCTAAGGCCTACTTTTACTGGGAAATAATCTCCGTTTCCTACATACTCTAACTTTAGCCTCACTATCCTTGTAAAAACTCTTCACTGCTTTCAGTAACCTACCTCCTATACCATACACCTGCAACATCTGCCACATTGCCCCCCTATCCACCCTGTCATACGCCTTTTCCAAATCCATAAATGCCACAAAGACCTCTTTAGCCTTATCTAAATACTGTTCACTTATATGTTTCACTGTAAACACCTGGTCCACATACCCCCTACCTTTCCTAACGCTTCCTTGTTCATCTGCTATCCTATTCTCCGTCTTACTCTTAATTCTTTCAATAACAACTCTACCGTACACTTTACCAGGTATACTCAACAGACTTATCCCCCTATAATTTTTGCACTCTCTTTTGTCCCTTTGCCTTTATACAAAGGAACTATGCATTGCTCTCTGCCAATCCCTAGGTACTTACCCTCTTCCATACATTTATTTAATAATAGCACCAACCACTCCAAAACTATGTCCCCACCTGCTTTTAACATTTCTATCTTTATCCATCAATCCAGCTGCCTTACCCCCTTTCATTTTACCTACTGCCTCACAAAACTTCCCCCACACTCACAACTGACTCTTCCTCACTCCTACAAGATGTTATTCCTCCTTGCCCTATACATGAAATCACAGCTTCCCTATCTTCAACAACATTTAACAATTCCTCAAAATATTCCCTCCATCTTCCCAATACCTCTAACTCTTCATTTAATAACTCTCCTCTCCTATTTTTAACTGACAAATCCATTTGTTCTCTAGGCTTCCTCAACTTGTTTATCTCACTCCAAAACTTTTTCTTATTTTCAACAAAATTTGTTGATAACATCTCACCCACTCTCTCATTTGCTCTCTTTTTACAATGCTTCACCACTCTCTTAACCCCTCTCTTTTTCTCCATATACTCTTCCCTCCTTGCATCACTTCTACTTTGTAAAAACTTCTCATATGCTAACTTTTTCTAAACATTTCTTTTGCTAACATTTCTACACTAATGCAGTAGTCTGCATAACAGTAAATCTTCTATTTTTTTGTGAGAATAAAAATTCAAAGTGGAAAGCAAAAGAATGTAAGAGGGGCATGGGGACGGACTAATAAACAGAGGAAATGTTATTTTAGTGCCGGGAAATGTCTTTCTGTTTATTTGGCCCTTTTTTGGAAATTGCATTTTTTAATTTTGGTAAAATTGGAAAAATTGCTAACTCTGATCACTGATTGGAAGTTGAAATTGGAAAAAGGGGTGGTTTTCTTGCATTCATTCATAAAAAAAAAGGAATTCTGGGAAAAATAGAGGTTTTTGTCGACGTAACTGGAAGGGGCCAAAAAAGGGCCCAAAGGGGGCAAAAGCCCCGATGCTAAACATCTCGAGCCCGCTAACTTCCAAGAGCATATTTCGTAATTTTTCCTTTAAAAATTCATATTTTTGGGCGTCATTATGATCGGGAAAAGATTCTCATCTTTTCATAAGAAAAAATTATTTTTTTTTTTAAAAATTTTTTGACCCTGAAAACAAATCTGGGAAGGGCCCCCGTCAACCCCGAAAGGGTTAATGAAACTATTTTTAGGTAAAACTAGTTGCTAAAACAAAAGTATAAATTTTTAAAATTTACAATTTTTTAAGTATAAGGAATAGTAAGCCATTAAATTAAAGGTTTCCCCCTAATGCTTTGCATGTAGTGGGTTCCCTTTTCACGTATGCCATTATTGTAACACAAGTTTAAAAGAAACCTTGTAAAGAAAAAAACTTTGTTAAGGAGGGGCCCTGGCACAAAAGCAAAAAAACTGTGTGACAGCTATGAAAAGGGGGTTTAAAAATGAAGACGACTGTTTCCCAATAAAGCTGGGGTTTTGTATTGGGGGGTTGCTCAGTTGGAGAATTTGGAACAGGGGAATGAAATCCCTCACCCTATATCATAACATTATTTAAGTAATGGATGGTATACCAAATTTTACCCAAAGCAGCCCCAAAATACACAACCCCCTCAATTATACAAACAGGTAAAATCCACATTAGGGCTACCCCCAAACCCCCAAAAAGGGGTGGGCCCCTTCCCTTCTGGACATCCTTCTAGCTGATGCTCAAAATTTAAATCACCCTCAAAAGTACAGAAACTTACAATGAGATCAACAATACTACTATCATTTCACCACTGATTTTTAAACAAACAGAGATGGTTGATTACAGTATTATTTTTGACACGAAAAAATTTGTTCTTCCACCACAAATTTTCTTTTGGCTCCCCTTCCCTATATTAATCCATTAAATCAAGGGACCAAAAATTTTGTCAGTCAGAACTTGCCATCTGTAACTTCCTCACAAGTGATAATTCCTACCTTTCCAGTGTGTGTAACAGCCTCTCAGGACGCTCAGGGTAATTCTCATCCCAGAGGCAGCGATGTTCAGCCATGCGTTCATCATACACCACCCCTGTCTTGCCACGGACTATCTTCATACCCTCCTGAGCCTGTTATAAGGGTAAAGATAACTGTAGGTAACTACTAATATTCAGTCCACATCTTTTATGGAAAATTATAACATAGCACATATGAAACAAATAACAGAAACATCAACAGAATTCTATGTAATTAAACTAATTTACTGTACAACAAAATTACTTTTTAGACCAAAAATGAAATATAAATGTACGTGAAAGATGATTTAAATAAATTAAAAATACATAATTTTTTACACACAATATAAATAATGTTTCATAATTATCTGCAGTACTAAAGCCATCAATATGCATGCAACAATCAAGCATATTTTATGTCCAATACAATGGATAAAACTGGCCCATAAAACTTCATTAAAAAGTAAATTCCCCTAATACATATACACAAACTTGTGAATCAGAAATTAAAAACTGCCTGACTAACCCACTGTGTTCACTAAGAGATATGATCAGTTAGCCTGATGCTACAATGACAGATACAGTAATAAAACTAAATTTTGAATTTCCATTTACTCTATTTAAAAACTTAAAACAATGAGAACCTTTGCCATGGGGTCAAAGATGGGATCTCCTCCTTCCGGAGTTTGCGATGCTTGTCGTTTAAATACATTCCTGAGTTCTTCAATGGAAATGCGAGGTCGAATGGCTGCTAATCTACGATTCTTGGAAGTCTGTCCAGTTTCACCTTAAACAGTAAAACACTTTCTAAACACAAGATG